GAAAGCGAGAAATCACCCCCCAGAGGGGATGGTCACACCACAATCCCTTCTCCTCCATTCTCCTCTCGGGATCTTGGGCACACACACACACGCGCCTGGTGTGTTTTAAGCCACCGGGTCCGGGACGCGAACCACGGTCGACTACGTGGGAGTCCAGCAACATAGCCATTACGCTAACTGCTGGTCCCCTGAGTGGCTTTTTTACACTCTCCATGTACGGTCATGTGGTCTTTGTGTGTCCTTCATTTCACCTAACACAGCGTCCTTCAGGTCTATGTTATTGCAAATGACCGAGTTTCTTTAAAGGGTAGTTTCCCACATTTTCCTCATCCATTCAGCTGCTGATGGGACACTCAGGTTGACCCCATATTCTGGGTGTTATGAAAAGTGCTTCGATGAACATGGCAGTGCAGAGCTTTCTTTGACATATCAATTTAATTTCCTTTGGATGCATACCCAGTGGTAGGATTGTTGGATCATATGGTTCTATTTTTAAGTTTTTGAGGAATCTCTCTTTCCATAATGGCTATACTAATTTACAGGCCCAACATTTATAATATATAGGGCTCTCTTTTCTTCATATCGTTGGTGACACTTGTTCCTCACCTTTCTGATACCAGCCATTCTAACAGGTCTGAGGCAATGTCTCGTTGTGATCTCAGTTTGCATCTCCCCAGTGATCTGTGGTGTTGAGGAACATTTACTCATACCTGTTTTGGCCATTTCTATGTCTCTTGCAGAAATGTCTATTCAAGTCTTTGACCATTTTTAAATTATTTTGCTTATTTATTTATTTTTTACATTTTCTTTGAGAGGTTTTTGCTATAGGGCGCATGAGCTTGCCAGACAGACAGAGAGTTAGAAAGTGAGAAATCACCCCCCAGGTCACGCCGCAAACCCTTCTCCTCCATTCTCCTCTCGGGATCTTGGGCACGCACGCACACGTGCCTGGCGTGAGTTTAAGCCACCGGGTCCAGGACTCGAACGGTGGTCGACTACATGGAGTCCAGCAACATAGCCATTACGCTAACCGCTGGTCCCTTGCTTGTTCATTTTTACTACTGAGTTTTTTTAACTACATATTGGATATCACTCATTAGATGTATAGTTTGTAAAAATTGTCTCCCACATACTTTTTCGTTTGCTACGATCCCATTTACCTAGTTTCATTTATCTTACCGTGCTGTGCTCTCGGGACCACATTAAAAAAACAATCACCAACCAGACCAGTGTCATGGTGCTGTCCTGTTTCCTTCTAGTAGGTTTTCAGCTCCAGGCCTTAAGTCTTTAATCCATTTGCAGTTGATTTTTTCTGGTAAATGATGTGAGATGATGGGTAATTTCATTCCTCCACATGTGGGCATTTAGCTCTCCCTGTACCACTAACCGAAGAGACTGTCCTTTCCCTATTCTTAGCATTTTTGTCAGAAATCAGTTGACTGTAAATGCAAATATATTTCTGGGCTCTCTATTCTGTTCCATCAGTGTCTGTTTTTATGCCAGTAATGTTCTGGTTTTCTTTGGAGAGGTTTTTGCTATAGGGCGTGTGCGCTCAGCAGACAGAGAGAGGGAGAGACAGAGAGATAGAAAGCGAGAAATCACCCCTCAGGGTGGATGGCCACGCTGCAATCCCTTCTCCTCCATTCTCCTCTTGGGATCCTGGGCACGCACACACGCACGCACACGCGCCCGGTGTGGGTTTAGGCCACCGAGTCTTGGACTCGAACCGCGGTCGACTACGTGGGGGTCCAGCAACATAGCCATTACGCTAACTGCTGGTCCCAGTAATGCTCTGTTTTGATTACATTAGCTTTGTAGTCAATTTTCAAATCAGGTTAATATGAATTTTTTCTTTTTGTTCCCTTTGCTCAAGTAGTTTTGGTAATTTCAGGTATTCTGTGGTTCCATACGAATTTTAGAATATTTTTTGAAAGACATTGGAACATGATAGCAATTGAGCTGACTCTGTACATTGCTTTGAGTAGTACAGACATTTTCACAAAATTAATTCTCCCAGTCCGTAAACATGGGACATCTTCCCATTTATCTGTGTCTTTGATCTCTTTCATTAGTGTTTCACAGCTCTCAGGTTACAGATCTTGCACTTCTTTATTACATTGATTCCTTAGTATTTTTAGTTGTTTCTATTGTAAACGGGATTTTCTTGATTTCCTTTTCAGATGTAGTAGTTAGGATATAGAAATGCTGCTGATTTTGTATATTGAGTTTGTATCCTGCAACTTTACTGAATTTATTAGTTCTAATCATTTTTTTTAAAGAGGTTTTCGCTATAGGGCGCGTGCGCTCACCAGACAGAGATAGATAGAGACAGAAAGCGAGAAATCACCCCCCAGGGGGGATGGTCACGCCGCAATCCCTTCTCCTCCATTCTCCTCTCGGGATCCTGAGCATGCACGCACACGCGCCCCGCGTGAGTTTTAAGCCACCAGGTCTGCCGACTACGTGGGAGTCCAGCGACATAGCCATTAAGCTAACTGCTGGTTCCCAGTTCTAATAATTTTTTGATGGGATCTTTAGGGTTTTCCATACTAAAATCATATCATCTACAAATAGAGACATTTAAATCTCCCTCCCTCCCTTCCATGTGCCAGAAGGTGCACATGCTTGCCAGAAAGAGAGCGGTAAAGAGAGAGAGTTCTCCCCATGGCGAATGGTCATGTGCAACCTCTCCTGCATTCCTCCCTCCTTACAAGACGTCCAGCACACATTCGCACAGGGCCAGCAGTTTCTTGAGAGCTGCTGGGTCCAGAATGCAGACTGCACAGTGAGTTTGTGGGATCCAGCCACCTTAACCACCGTGCCACAGGCTGACCCAGCTTCTTTCCTATTTGGGTGCCTTTTCTTTCTTTCTTTTCTCTAATTGCTCTGGCCAGGACTTGCAGTACTCTTAATAGAAGTGGTGAGAGAGGGCATGCTTCTCTTGTTCCTGGTGTTACAGGAAATGGTTTTCAACTGCTCATCATTGAGTTTGATACTAGATACGGGCTTGTATATGGCCTTTGTTGTGTTGTACATTGTTTTTATACCTAACTGTTGAGTTTTTATCATGAAAAGACATTGAATTTTGTCAAGTGCTTTTTTTTTTTTTTTTGCATCTACTGAGATGATCATATGGTTTTGTCCTCCATTATCTTAATGTGGTGTAGCCCATCTACTGATTTGTATATATTGAGCATTTTTTTCATATGAGTTAGCCTGGAGAATGTTAAGTGAAATAAACCAGGCACAGAAAGAAAAATACCACATGCTCTCCTTCATATGTGGAAATTGAAAAAAAATAGAATCTCACAGAAGAGGGATGAAGAATGACTACTAGAGAGTGGGGGCGATAGTGGAAGGGGATATAGGGATAGTGATCGGCAGAAACAAAACTACAGATAGATACAGATGGGGGGGTGGAGCGAGGAAGCACTCCTATGAGAAATGGCCACACCACAATAATTTCTTCATCTGTCCTTCCTTTCAGGATTTTGGGCATTCGCACACCTGCGCCCAGTGTGCTTCTCAAGCCACTGAGAAGCACGAGCCACTGGTTCTGACAAGCCACTGGTTCTGAAACTTAAACCATGGAGTTGGCCATGTGGGATCTGGCTCCTGTAACCAGCACGTCACAGGGTGACCCAAGAGGAATTTCTACTGTTATAAAATATAGTAGGGGGAATATAGCTAACAGCGATTTATTGTATATATGAAAGTAACTTAAAAGAGAGGATGTTGAATGTTCCCAATGTTAAGGAATGACAAAGGGTCGAGAATATGGGCATATTAAGTCCCCTGATTTAATCACTACACGTTGTATTCTTGTGTGAAAAAAATCACATTGCAGTCCTGCAAATATGTACAATTATATGTTTGAAATATCTTCTTTTAAGACTTTTGTGGCCTATAAATGATCTATCCTGGAGAACCTTCTATGTGTGTTTGAGAAAAACGTGTATTCTGCTGCTGTCAAATGAAATGTTCTGTCTGACAGGCCCAGTTCCTCAGGATGATCTGTCCATCTTGAAAGGACTATTATATTGCAACCTCTCTCTCTCCAGACCTATTAATGTTTGTTTTAGATAATTAGGTAATCTGATGTTACAATTGTCACAGCCTTTTCATAAATTGATCCTTTATCGTTATATAATGACCTCTTTGGTTTCATTTGATCTGATCTAAGTGACTTCTGTCCTTTTGGTGCCATTTGCATGGGAAATCCTTTTCATCTTTTCACTTTCAAAGGTAAAGTGAGTTTCCTGTAGAGAGCACATAACAGGATCTTATTTTAATCCAATCAGCCACTGTCTTTTTACTAGAGAATTTGATCCATTTGTATTCAAGATAATTATTGAAAGGTAAAAACTTACTACTGCCATTTTGTTCATTGTTTTTTGTTTTGTAAATCGTTTGCTCCTTTCTCCCCCCTGTATTGTCTTCCTTTGTGATTATGTGATTTTTCTCGAGTGGTATGCTTCAATTCCTTACTTTTTTATCTTCTGAGTATCTACTATAAGTTTTGCTTTATGGTTACCATGAGGCTTACAAATTACAGTCATAACAAGCTATCATTTTTCTTTTGTTTAGAAATTTTTGCTATAGAGCACATGTGCTTGCTGGAGAGACAGAGAAGTTGATAAAGCACCCCCTTGGGTGATTTATACCATACCACAGTCCCTTTGCCTCCATTTCCTCTTGGGATTTTGGGCATAAATGAACATGCCATGAGTTTCAAGCCACCAGGTCTGGGACCTGAACCGCAGTCAACTATGGGAGTCCAGTGCCTGAACCACGATGCCACCTACTGGCTTCCCCATAACAAGCTATTTTAAGTTGATAACACTTTAATTGTACAAAATAACTATGCATTTACTGTACTCCTCTCGTGTACACTTTCTGTTCTCGATGTCACAATTTACATTTTTTTAAAGCATATATTTCTTTTGCTTTATTTCTTTGGATTATTGAAAGTATAATCACCAAGTCTTGCTTTGAGAATATCAAGTTCTTTTGTCTTTAGTTTTAGGCTCATGGGGAAACCTTTTCATACATAACCGGGGGAGAGAGCATCGCTGGCTCTGGAATCCCAGTTCTGAGTGCTATCTTGGTTAAATTTCTTATCTCTGAGCCTTAGCTTTCTCATTCACATTGCATATAGTTGCAGTGGGCATCCGACTGGCAGTCATTTCATGCTTAGCTGCCACTCTCTCAAATCTGACCTCAACCTTCATCAGGAGGCAGTACCCTGTACAGCCTTGGCCTTGGCAAGAGTTATACAACAGCAGCTAAGCTGATACTTCTGGGGCACCGGCCTTGTGTGTGCAGTGCTCAATGTTTACATGTATTATGTCAGGCTTAGAGAGGTCAGGTTCCTTGCTGAGGATCACAGTAGGGCAGAAGCAGAATCCATGTTCTATAAAGTCAATCTATGTGCATCTAGTGTATATGTGTATTTCTGTGGGTTTGGTTAGCATCAGTTCACGAGAGCCGGGTCGTTCCTGAGTGAACTGGTAAAATGGACGTTGGAGTATGTGAGGTGGAAACCCAGGTCTCTGGGTGGCTCTGCATGGAGCCTGTGGTGGAGCTGCTCGTCTGAGTAAAGCGGAGTACCAGTCAGGAACGTTGGCTCTGCACTCGTAAAACTGCAGTGTGGCAAGGGGGCTCTCTACACATCTGCCACTTGAGACAGATCTCGGCAGCCAGTCGGCAGGCCCACGGAACTTCAACACGGCAGCGTGCATTGTTAGAAAGGGCAAGTCCTACACTCAGACGGGTTTTAACACAGACACATCAAAGGGGGGATGCCACCAGCCCGTCCGTTCTCTGCTCTCCCCAGTCATACTGCACCTGACCAACCACTGCTCCATGCATGTCACCCACTAGCTGGAGGAGACGGAATATGACAGACTTTGGAATATACTCTCGGCTTCAGGGGAAACAATAAAAGTCCCAACAGGCAAAATGTATTTCCAAAAAACTGGACGGAGGTATGTGTCATTCTTCTGCTTAACAAGCAAAACAAAACCAACCAGTCTGGTGAACTGATGCTGCGGCAGCACTGTGGAAGAGAGGGCGCCTAGGCTGGGATGGTTTGGGGGGAAACCCTGGGAACAGAGGCCAGCCTGGAACCTCTGCTCAGAGTGTGGGAGGCAGAGGAGGCCAAGCCGGAGAGGAGAGGCCCCTCCTCAGCTGCCTTGGGATCTTCTCTGGGTCTCCAGGGCCAGGCCCGAGGGAGGCTTCAGTCCTCAGTTGCAGGCGGCGGAATGAGCTGCAGCTGGAAGTTCTCATTCTGGAAGATGCTGTTGAAAGCAGAGCCACTCTGGGAGCCACCGAACGGCCTGTAGCTCTCGCTGCTCCGGCTCTGGGAGAGTTCCGTGAGGAGAGCCAGCTGTGAAGGAGGGGACACACGTCAGCCGGGGCTAAGGAGGCAGAGTCTGGGTGTGTGCGCAGGGAAGGGTGTGGGCAGAGGTCCTGAATTCCCCTGTTGGGGGCACCTGAGAGGCAGCACTGAGTGCCCCTGCTCTGGGGCTGCGCGTGACCCTGCCGCCACCTTTCTCTCCCAGGGGACACGCCTTGAGGTTCTGCCTTCTCAGCTCACCCGATTCCACGCTCTCCCTTGTGGTCATGCTCCTTGGGGACATGGCCCTGAATCATGACCAGTGGCTCCGACATCTCTCTTCTGAAACCTGGGCAGCTCCAAATGGATGTCCTGCTGCCGACTCGAACCAGAGGCTCCAGAGTGGGAGTCCTGCTGCGCCCTCTGCCCCAGACGAGGCCCTCCTCCCGTGCTTCCCTATCCTCACCACAGACAGCAGCACTAGCCTCATTTCACCAGTGGCTCAATTCTGAGAATGGCAGGAGGAGACCTTAATGCCAGCCATGGGAAGCCAGGCTCTGCCATGAAGAACCAACCCCACTCACTTAACAAGGCTTCCTGCAGGAGTAGGGTCCCTGACGGCCTGGCCACGAGATGTCCTGGACCGTCTGAGGAGCGATGAACTCCATGCCCAGGCCCTGACACTTCCTGGGGCGTCCCTCCCTCAGCACGGGCAGCCACCTGGGCCACCCTGAGCCGAGATAAAGTGTACCTGCTAACAGCAGATGGGACCTGTGGGATGGAGCCGCCGTGTTCCTGCTATGTGCCCAGGGACCTGCTTAGCTCCACGAGGCCAGTGACAGCTGGCCCATGGCGGCCGCCCTGTGACGAGTGAGAATGAAACTCCGCAGGGCAACCCTGTATCAGCTCCACGCCAGGAGTCCAGGGGGGGCCCTTGCAGCTGTAGGTCCCCGTACTGAGGGCCTGTGCAGAGCCAGACGTGAGGCCAGGTCTTTCCTGGCATGCTGTTTCTGATCCTCACAACAGTGCTCTGGGGCAATCAGCTAAGTACCCTACCCTTGGTCGGCTCGGTCGGCCAGCAGGGAGATTCTAACTCAGGCCGGTGTGGCAACTCCCACTCAGCTAGCAGGCCTGGCGTCCTGCCTTCTCTGGAGATGACAGTCCCTCCCCTCCCACCTGCCTGGCCGGGCAACTTGTCTTCTAGTTGTTCTCCAACCTCTGGCAAGGGGTCTCCCTCACAGGCCGCAGTGCCACAGGCTCCCGTGTGCTCATTCGTTACTGCCGTTGACGACTCGCTGCCAGTGGCTATGATGACTGGGAGACAACTGAAGGCCTCTAAGTTCTAAGTGCCAATTCATC